TGGTGACCTATCAATATTTTGCCGCAAGTAGATTATTATAATAATTTATATACATATACTATATATTTCGCAAAATTATATATAATATTTTATTTGGCAAAATTTTCCTTTTGCCAAAAACAGTAGGGAGCCACCTTAAGTCTAATTTTTCACACAGCGTTTGTGAGTCAGCATTTTTACAAAAGATTTATTCAGTTACAGTTAAACATATGTATCAATACAGTGGTATACTATAACAGGTACAGTGACTTATAAAACTCTTAAATTTACATTATCGTTACTATTAAAATTCAAAAAAACGAGAATTTTGGTGAAATAAGCCGCCATCTTGGATTTAGTTGTCGTGTTAGTGCTGATAAAATCTAGGGAGGGCTCCTAGGCTAAAATTAACTGTTATACCCCAAGGGAGCGCTGTCCCAAATTTGGTGCTTTTATCCGCCCGGTAACAATAATTTCAGTAAGCCACCTGACTAGTTTATATCAGGCTGTGCAGGTAATTTGCACAAAATACAAAATGGCTGTCGTTTTCAAGGTTTGGTGGCTGATTGATAGTTTTTAAATGATTTTTGTGTCAATTGTTGAATAGATTTAACACATTTGAACCCATGTAAGGATGCAAAATGAGTTGGAGTTTCTTTAACAAAAAGAAGCTTGCACCAAAATCAAGTGGCGACAGAGAGTTTGAGAGAGAAATTGCGAAATGCAGCGAACTCGAGACGAACACGAAAAAACTTTACAAGGGCATGAAGCGTTGCAATGAGGCTTTTGAAGAACTTTCGAAAATGGAGTCAAAATTGGCTCAAGATATTTCTACTATGCCTTATAATGATGAAATAAATGGACTAAATCATGCCGAAGAATTAGTGAAAACTTTAAAAAGTCTTGAATCACATCGTGTTGAATTGGCAGCAAACGTAGTGAAAACAACCATTGAACCTATGAAAAAATTTTATGGCATACTTCCAAGCGTTAACAGTGGTGTAAAGAAACGCGAACAGTGTTTACAAGAATATACGAGATTAAGGGGAAAAGTAGAGAAATATAAAGATAAGGAAAAGACTCCACAAAATTTGAATAAACTTGAACAATATGAGAAGGAACTTGAGACAGCCAGGAATGATTATGAGGCTCAAAATGCTTTGATGTTGGAAGGGTTACCTCAGTTGTGGGAAGGTAGGGTCACATACTTCGAACCATGTTTTGAAGCATTGCAAAGGTCTCAAGTTGATTACTACAGTAAGTGCTGCCAAGCATATGGTGATCTGGTCGAGAAACTTGATAGTGATAATGTTGGTGATGAAGAAGGTGCTCATCTTGATGTACAAGACATGCTCACTGATATAAGGTCACTGTCAATTATTGAAAATGCATGAAGGACTTTATCATCTTTCTTTTTACCAAAACTGTGGATGTTTCCTCTCGCCTATAAAAATGTGTCGTGTAATGTGTCAAAACATTCAGGAAGGTAATTCCCACAATGTCTATTTTGTGACCTTAGAAGTGTGGTCGCTTCCTGAGTGTTTTAACACGAAAACTTTACATGTTTATTTGAGCCAAGGGGGACACTGCTGACTGCTCCCCCCTCCCAATTAGTGATAACCAGAACTGTTTTTGTGAAAAGTTGGAAAAATCCTGGCTGAAAGGTGCAAGGGGACTATATGTCTGAAATAATGGTAAAACCCTTTTTCTTGGTTATTATTTTTCTTGACATGCTGTGAACACTAGAGACCCTAGAAATTCAAAATTGTATGATATACAAATAATGAATGTTTATATGAGTGCAATGGTAAGAATATTTTAATGAGGTGAAACATGGAATGTTCCATTCAACGAGGCAACAGCCGAGTTGAATGGAACATTCCATCTTTCACCGAATGAAAATATTCTTACCATTGCACGAAAAAACATTCATTATTTGTTTTATATAATACCAAAATAGACTAATAGATTTGTATGAGAAGCATTTTGAGGGATGCTATTTATCGAAAACACAAAGAGTGCAATTGTACTATACGTTTTATTCCATTGCACTTGCAGAGAGTGCAATTCCATTGCACTCTTGGGAAATGGAATTTTCTATTCAATATCATGTCAGCAATTAAACAATCAGAATTCAATAAGGTATTATATAATATTTGATATATTATGTATTGATATGCACCTGAGCGTATTGTCACATATGTTTAGATCTTTTTGTCAAGAACATACTACACTTGTTTATTACTAGTTTTGATGTAGATAATGATATGTACTTTCATTACATAGAATTTGTGTCATAGAGCTCAATTTCTGAAGTAAACATATGCCTATTGCTTAATTGTTATTATGTTCAATGTTCCTTACATTCTTAAACTTGGTAAATACTAAATTGTAGTATTGGTTTCATTCAATAACTGTTATTCTAGCATTTAAGTTTAGTATACTTTGGTACAGTATGTTTGCGTGCGTTTTGAAAAGGGGGAGTACCTTGCATGATATATATACTCTTCCTCTTGGATATTGTCTGATAAGTTAATTAATTGGCAAAAAAACTGAGTGACCTTTTTTCAAGTTTATCCTTCCAACCCCAACTTTTCACTATTCCCATTGTTTACCCAGTTCCTAATGTCTATTCAATGAAAAAGGTTGCATAGCAAAATATCAATAGGATAATACAGCGAATGCCGATTATAGGAATCCTATCCAAAAAATAAGAAAATCATTGATCTCGAACGAGATGCCCAAAATCTTGGGAAAAGCAATACTTACTGTTATCAAAATGTGCCAAATTTGCAATTGCGAGGTAATTTTGTTTAAAAGTCTAAAAGGTGAATTTAGTGCATCTACAACTTTACCCGGTCCATGATTATTACAGTATATTGTTATGCTAATTCCATCGTATTAGTGGTAATTGTAATTATTGCAGCTATTAATTGGTATTATTATACATTGTAGTTGGTAAAAGCAATTTGATTGGCTAAGAGCTTACAGTTAAATCGCGCAGTCACGCAACCTACAGAAAATTCAGTTATCTGTTAGCAGATAACTGAGTTGTCTGCAAATGAGCCTGCGATGATTAGCAAGCGGTATCTATTTAACACAAACAAATGTATAATAAAACAATTATTGAATTCGGTATTTGCGATATGCAAAATTATCAAGGTCTCGGTAAGCGTTACCTGGACCTTGATAATTCCGCATATCACAAAAACCTCATCCAATAATTGTTAAATATCTGACAAAAAACTACCACAAAAGCATCAATTGAGAATAATACATATGTTAGAATACTATTAAACAAAATTATTTTTAAATTGTAAGAAAATACCATGTACTGTAATTAGGTCTGAAGGCATGCTTCATTTAACAAATAAGATAAAATAAATGTGGCAGACATTTAGGGCAGTTCAGATATGCCGCTCGTACTTTATCTAGCACTTAAACGCCATACTGGCTACATATCAATCGTCACCACGCTTTTAATTAATTTCAAAATTGACAGTATCTAGTGTTCTCCGCCTTCAAAAGACACTCCCTGACGTGAATCAATAATCAATGTATAAAGCAAAATAGAACTTCTGGATTTTACAAATGTGAACCAATTTTTAACCAACCTCAAAGTTGGTTCCAGCCTTCGGTGTCGCTTCAGAAACGACTAACAGATCCGACCCACTCATCATTTGCAAATTTGCAATAACTGCCTCGTGTATAAATCAGGATTTTGTGCCTCACTCGATAGAACTAATTGTCAAGTGTTTTGTAGATGGAAATTTCGATTGTAAATTTTATACATTATATTAGGCTGGGTCTAATATATGTATAAAATTTACACTCAATATGAAATCGTACGTATTAAGATTACCATCGAGTGTTCCCAAGCCACAAAATATTTTTTTCTAATATAAATTACCTTAAAAGCACTAAACGTACACTACTTGGAATATCAGAGGTACCGGTACATGAAGTATTTCAATGAACTGGTATACATTATAAAAATACAATGTTGTACATAACATCACACGTTTGATATATTGGTACTTTTAAACATACACTGAAAAAAATAGTGAAATTGTTACTATGGAATTTGCGATTGCATCACTAAACTGTATGATCCATACTATATCTATTGAAATTACGCCAATTAGTATGAAAATTGGATTTCCATACTATTTTCAACTAAGATCCATACTATTTCCATATAGTAAGGATTTTGAAAAATTCCCATTGATAGTCTGTCAGGATATGATGGTCTGGAAACGAATCAGAAGTCATTGGTTATATTTTTGTCTGAGTTTATGTTAATTTGTGCACGATCACGGTAATTGAGCTCATTGTATTTTCGTATGATGAAGTAATCGACCAATAAATAGGGATAGCTGAGTTGAAACGTACGGTGCAACCACGATGAGTAATATTTAATGCAGTTGAGACAAAGGATTTGTGCACGATGTGAGGTACAGTTCAACATCAAAGAAAGGCCTATTTTGTAGCTTTGAAGTTTGCCGGGCTTCCAGACCATCGTATCTTGAGTTGACTTAAACGAATTCTGTATTTGTTTCCTAATCCTGCCTTATATGTAGCAGTAAAACAACACAAAGACCATATATATTACTATTATAAATTTACTACTATATTTTATAACAATACTCATTGAACATAATATTTACAATGTCAGTGTTCAATAGAAATTTCAAGAATTAAAATAAACCGCAACACTATCTAGTATTTGCCGCTGGGTGGCAATGTGTCAACTGTTTTTTATCTTTTGGACTTTTCCTCTTGACAACGAATCTGATACGGAACGGCCTGCGTGGTGGTTGCTTTATTTACAACACTAATCAATTATCGCATTCGTTGACTATCAGAAAAAAGTTCAAATTGTATTTGGAAGTTTTTCTAATTGATGATTTTGTTGAGTACAACAAGTAGTGCACAAGTGAGCAGAACGGAGAAAGAACAGTACGCCATGCTACCAGAATTTCTATCATCATCAACTGGTACCAATTTAGTAATCGATTTTTCTGCAAACAAAGACAAGAGGTAAAAGATAAGTTATTGTTTAATGAAATTAACAGAAAGGGAACAAAGTAATTCATTGCGGTAACGTGGGCTTGTGAGGCGACGTATGGCACAACCTCGTTCAGAGAGCCTGGGAACGAGATTGCGTCTAGCAGACATTTGTTTTGAACATGTGACGTATTAATGAATTTACAACGGTATTAAAATTACCTCCACTTTCTTCAGTTGCCGTTTTTGTTGTCTTTTTATCAACATATTTAGATTCAGTAGGTTTGGTTTCAACGACATCCTGAGTTATTCTTGAACTCGCTATACAGGGTATCAACAATTTAATGTTAGTATTGATTATATACACGCTAGGGATGTGCCCAAATTTCTGAAAGTTTTATCGACTTTTTTACTCAAGGCAAACAAATTGATGAAATAGACATATTCTGATACAGTTGGGTTTTTCGTTATTTTGCTTATTTCTGACTCATTCATCAAAATCCGGCAAAAGCATTCCTTTTATTGGCAGCAAATTGATTATTTCATTTCAAGTAATATTTCCGAAATTACGGAACCGAATCAAATACACCGTAATTTATTATATTTCATAGGCAGTGCAAGGGGGCTTGAATGCATGCTTGAGAAACTCTAGGGGGTGCAGAGAATGATGAAAAATAGAATGTCTGAAAAGGCCTTTTCTGCATCCTTTCGCATTTCAGGCAGCAAAGAATCTTGACACTATCTCCCACTTTAATATTTTCTCTCTTGGTGGGGAGGGGTGTCTTAGCTCCCTCACTATAGCCCACCAATCTCCCATCGCTTATGTTACATTTTTGCGTTGTTATTGAATGAGTGAATGAATGAATGAACAACTTTATTTACAGTCGTGGCAATGGAAGTATTTCTAAAATATTCTACCAATTCATTTGCTCACAAGAACCAATTCATTTGATAAGCTCTTCGGATAATTGATAACTTCCTGTATGGATGCACCAATCACCTTTGGTTGTGGTGCAACTGACCAATCATAAAGAGGCAAGAAGTGACCAAAGTTGACTAAATACAGAAAATTGCGTCAAATACTGGTTCTTGTGAGGAAGTGAATTGATAGAATATTTTAGGAATACTTCCATTGGCACGACTGTAATGTAGTCAAAACAAACCTAGTAGCCCTCAAATACTATTCTACAAACTAAAAATATGAAAAACTAAAATTATACAATAATTCTAGTATTCATACACACCTTGAATAGTAGGTAGTGTTGTTGGAAGTTCCACCTTTGGCAGTTCACAAGCGTAGACATCAACTCTCATACAAATTACTCCTTGCTCAGTCCAGGTTAATGGGTTGAAACGAATGTATCTTGCTTCAAGCAGTTGGCTTAATTTATGACGAACAATGTTGTCCTTTTTGCTCGTATTTACATTGCCCAGAAAGATCTATAAAATGATATATAATTATTACAAATTTATCAAGGGTTCGAAGGGTCTGTGTTTATAACATGGGTCCAAGCCAAGAGTCTGTTTATAAATCAATAATGATTCTTTGTACTATTTTTCTAATTGATGTACATTTCATTTTGGAAAAATCACGAACCTGCACACAAAGCGGTTTGGTTAATAACAGATTAACAGTGTTTTTAAGAGATTCTAAATCTTATTTTTTAATACTTAATTTAATTCACTTTTTGAAAAACTTTCAAATGATTAATGGCATGTTAATTAATGGTGAACTAATCCTGGCGGGCCTCAATTTGCACTACTATTGAAAATAGCATTTCTGTAAAGGCTAGGACTAGGTCTAGGAAAGGGCTTTCGTTCGAAGACAACTACCTAAACTTCTAATGTGCCATATTATTCTTCTACAGTGCATATGTCAGTTTTATACATATTAATTAAAATCACCAATAGGCAATAATTAGTCATAATTGCTCAGTAAATCAAGTACATTTAGAAAGAAACAGGAACGTAGAAACACGACTCAAATCTCAACATATCTTTGATATGCATAAATATTAACAACTTAAGTGTGTACAGACCTTGGACTTCATAGTGCTGTTATCTTTATATTGAAACCATTGTTTTCCGTTGACACTGTACATAATTTGGTATGATGTAACAGATCCGTACACATAACCTTGGGTTGCTAATCCTGATACATTTCGAACTGTTTGTAAGTCAACCTGTACAGAAGAAGAATGAATAATACATGCATGTATAAGACACAAAATATTTCAAAAATACAGGCAAATTAAAGATTAGTCCAGTAGACGAGTTTCGTTCAAAATGGTTTATCTTCAATTGTGATTTGTGGCATGCAGACGCCCTCCACCAGCATTTGATTTTATACTAATTTTATTAATTGTTTGATTCTGGCTGGAATTATATGTGAACGACTAAGTCTTGGGAAAACTAGTAAATACTGCCACTGTTGCGAAAACATTGTTTTTCAGACACTGTTTCCATAACAAGTATGATTACGTACATTTTTTTTGAAATTGTTGGGAAACTTAACTGAGATGCATTTGCATCTTGTGGGAAGCAAATATGTGTCTGGAACAATGTTCTTGAGGATGGGGAAACATTTATGGAAACATCGAAATTCTTTGCAACATTGTATTCTGCTCTGATCTTTGCGATGCTCGGCACATTAATTTTTTATTATTTTCTGAAACCCATTTAGGCATACTACCTCTTACAGCACCCAAACATATTTTATATTTTGTTTATTTTATAGCACCAACTACTTTTTTCTCTATATACCTGTATATATTGATTTTTATCTGCATCATCCGCACACCAGGCTCCCCATATTCTTTTCGTTTCGTTAATTTTTCTTATTCTGTTGTTCAGTCGACCATGATAGGCAAAATGACCAGATTTGTAAGATGATGCAAGGAATGCATGATTTGGTAGATCACCACTCTCTATACCCACTGATGAATTACATGGTACATCTATACCAAGTAATGAATTGCATCGGATTAATTTGTAAATTGGTAAAATCATCATCACAAAGGATTAATCTGAGGTTATACCGGTATATGTATGCATACTATAGAGAGTCCCCGATATTTCGATACCGATATTTCACAGTACACTCCCTATAGGGCTTTTCAGTGACTGGTTACATTATGAATAGATAGATAGAACCGGACTGACGTGAAGAAGACCGAGGTAGACTTTGAGCTTACAAATGGCGCTTGAGCGGCCGCTATTAGTCCGTACCTCATTAATGATCTGCCTCCAGAGTCCAGACCTATGTGCCTAACCCACCCTGTCAACTTTCCCTGTGGGAGGAAACACGTTGTACCCGGAGAAAACCCACGACTTTCGGCAGAGCGTTGACTTTTACTCTTTTCGCATGAGGACTGGGTTCGAGTCACATTGAGAAGTTCTCACTGAGATTCGAATCTGCGGCCTTAGAGGTGAAAGGCAAGTGCGCTAACCACTTCGCCACCGAAGCCCCAGGAGTTTCTAGGGAACAAGGCATATTTTGAAGGGAGCATGGTGAAATCTTCGTGGGAGAACAAGGGAACAAAGGAAAAATTTCCAAAGGAACACACTTTCCCTTACCCCTGGAAATTTCTCACTATATGCTGAACATAATAATGGATGTTGCATTATTACAATTTAATAGTGAGTTTGTTGGGTTTTTTTAGTTTGTTTGCTTGTTTGTTTGTTTTTAGTTAGTTATTATAATTTATTTGTATGTTAGTTCGTTTGGTATATAGTTAGTTGGTTAGTCAGTGTATGTTTGCAATGTAACTTCATTGTAAAAAAACAAACTTGAGTACAATAATGCATGCACCCACAGTGTTTTATGAGCAAATTTACTTTAGTCATCAACAATTTGCATAGTCGACATTTTTTTATATTTTCTTCATCAACACATTCTTTGGAACTGTCCCAAAGCCATTGAGCCAATAATTGCTAAGGTCATGGGTGTGGTCAACCCAGCCAAATATTAATTTTCTAAATATGGATGACAAACAATTTTCACTTCAAACACTCATGCAAGATAAGTTTTTCGCGGCCTAATGATCAGTGTTTATTATTGAATGAGATGCAGGACGGTTAGATTTTGTCTAAATTGTAGTCAAAACGCGCGCAATAAACTTGGCCTAAAATAAAGGCTAAATTTTGCCGGATGTGCAGTGACGGTAAAAATGCTGTTTAAACATCTGGAAATAATCAGCAACTTCGAAAAACAAAGTTAAAATGAAGACAGAATTTTTCACTTCAACACGGATTATATATGCATCAATACTTTGCATGATATCGCAGAAACAAGCGGAGAGTTTATTTCATGTCTGAGCCGCTATCGCTGAAACTCTAGACATACTTGTCGTCACGTATGATATACAGGACCACAACAAAGAGACTGATTGGAAAATAAAAAAGTCCCAATCTATTTTAATCTCTTCTTTTTAGTCATGATAAAGTTGAATAGTCATATATACAATAAATGAGGAATCTTCTTTCGAGATGTGACCTGCATACAAGCTTAAGTTTAGTGGCGTTTTTGGCTATTTATTTTTAGCGAAAGGAGGTAAACATTGATGTTTTATTCAGTGTTCTCTGTGCTCATAACTAATGAATGAGTGAATAACAATATTGAATCATTCACCAAGTTAACAGCTAGCTTAGAAGCTTACCCTTGCCCCTTGGTAATGTGCTAAAATTTTGAACCTTTTCATCATGTAATTCCATTAATTTCCAATGAATTAACCATGTCCAATTTTATATTGTGTGTTAAATGCATGTGCATTGTGTGCGTGTTCCAATATACGGGCATATCATACACAATTTTTATTTTATTTTAATCGCACTAAGCCTGTGTATTCTTCAAACACTATATATTCTTCAAACACTGAGAAGCAAACAACATTTGAACTTTATATTTCCAGTCTCGAGTTCAGGTTGTTTGATATTTAATTACTCTATACAGTATGCACTGTGGTGAAGTAAATCGTATTAGAACTTCATGAAGTTAGATTAATTCAGACTAAACGCGTCTGTGTTGATCGAAACTTTCACGCGAAGTATACAAGTATTCTAACTTTTAATTTATAGTTTATACAACCTACTTTATTTAATGCTTGTTGCAAAAGTTGGTTGGCCGAAAATTTGAGCCTTATATAAGATTCTTCCTACAGATTCTTCCTATTTTTTTTTAAAAGATTTTATAAAACACTTGGTCCTTTGTTAAAATAACCTTAGGCTATCAACGATGTTTGTTCTTTCACATAAAAACAGCCAAAGACCCATTAACGTTAACATAAGCCTTTTTCCCCATGCATATATACTGAGTCAGTGCGGCTTGAATCATAGTTGCTTAAATACATGTTCTGCATTAGCACTGTTTCAAATAACCTGCGATTATGGTGTGTTGTATGAAATATTTCGTATTATGTTTAAAAACACCTATCCATGCCACATGGTCGTGCAATTTCCGGCTTTTCTTTTTCTTTGTACAATTTTTTGTGAATTGTTTTCAGTGTGCATTCTGACATCACGAGATTGTATACTGGGAAATTAGCATAGCGCACGCATTTAATATTGAGACTACCACTCTACCAGCCGTTGGTTTATTTTTTAGCTCTGTCACTTGGGAGAAGAATTCAGTGACTATGTTGCGGACAACATAAAAAATTGCCACCTGCTTAATAAACCGAACAGCTTGTACAGCAGTTCATAACTCAAAACTATGACTATTCTCTGAGGGTATTCATATCTGAAATTTAACAAACAACAGACCTTTGGTTTTGCCTGATTTTAATCTTGTGCGCTGCAAACGATTTTACTGTAGTTGGCATTTTGATTGTCTCTACGATTTATAGCATAATGTATAGAGGCTCTGAAATCGTTTTATGAAGTGCAATCCTTAAAATGGGGATTTAAAATAATCCTCTCATAGTAGAGCAGTAGCTTTTATAACTAACTGTAGTTGGCATTTTGGTTGTCTCTATGATTTATGTTAATTTTAATATTGCGAGGTCCTGAAATCGGTTTATCAAGTGCAGTTCTTAATCCTCTTACTCTAATGAACTAAATCAACAAAAGTTACACCTTTCATGCCGTATGTGTGGTATATTGAAACATTTTTAATCTTTGTCTTTAGGATACAATACAAATTAGATTGGTTTGAGCTATTTTAACAATATAGAGGTGTGTGATTTATACTCCGTCTGAACTGAACAGAAACAGATATTTGGCCTACTAACTAGTTCTTATTCTTACTTCTCAACTGTTCCTTTGGCAGTTCGCCGTTGTAGTTCCGTCACCAACGTACAAGCTGTTTAACTCATGTTATTTCATATATGCAGTCAATCAAAAAATATTTCAAAAACTGGTATCTCGTTGAAAATGAATAAATTTAGCCAATTACTCATCTTATAAAAGTAAACGTGTATACTGAAACACGGCTTTCAATAAAATCATTCGTGTTAAAAAGAAGTAAATAGTGTCTTGTTTTTTCGTGATCAGCTTGTACTTTGTGTCGCCATTAACCCTTCATGATCCGGTGTTTGTTGTAAGGTGAGATGATAGGATTTAAGGTGTTAGACGCATTAAGGATCAATAAACTAACGCAAAATAGCTTTATACAATCAAATAGCTGTTTTCCTTCCTAAATCTCTTGAACTAGATTGTCCGCTTTTCTATTTTACCCATTTCAAGTTAACACCTTCCGCCACTGATCCCGGAGACGAAGACCGAAGTATCAAAAGTCTTCCTCTCGTGCGTCGAAATGTTAAATTATTAGTATGTATAAAACATAGAAGAATAACACCTACTTAAGCTAACATTAAGCCTTCTTGTTAAATTCATAGACGCATAACCAAATTAATTTGCGCAAAATTTACAAGAGCATACTGCACGTCTTATACAATAGTTATACCCCATTTTGCGTCGATGGCGGCGCGTGATCGAGTCAAAGTATCGATCGTGCTCAAGTTGGCATGTGTGACTAATATCAGCGCCAAAAGCGTTAAATATTACATGAAATATTCAGATTTATGTTTTGTACAAAATTGGGTTGGTCTTTTTAAGTCTTAACAACAGAGGTACATGAAACGGGTCCGTCGTTAGAGGAAAACATGAAACTATAATTGAAAGTTAAGGTCTAAAGGTTGACACCACATGCGAGGTTTGTACGTAATTCTATAACATTATACAAGTTTTCTATGACTTACCAGCAGTGGCACAGCACATAAATGCCAAAGACATGAAAAACTTAAGCGTGATTGAATTCATCTCGTTTTTTTGTACTCCCAACTTCTTGAGCGCAGTTTGTTGTAAAAGCATCGAACTCTGGAAACGCACATCCTCTCGTCCGGCCGCCGTGGTGTTTATAGACAATCCAAAGGGCCATAAATCACTAGTGAACAGGCACAGGAATATCGCGAACGTACATTGGTGGAGAGACATCGATTTGAACAGAATGATTAATGACCATCCACGCCTGCTTCGACTTCGTGTTACACATCTCGAGATTCTGCGCATTCCTTATACCTGGCAAGCGGTCTGAGATCATCAATCTTGCGATAAGGCAATGACAAGTGCTCGTCAAACTTTTATTAAATCAAGCTTGCGGCAAGGCGGTGTGCATTTCGCTCGCGGACCACGCAAACATCGCGCGTTTTACTGTTTACAAAACTAAACTTCAAAAGTACCCTATAACTGCTCTTAATCCATCCAAGTTTGTTAAACTCTTCAATTCGGAAGGCTCAAAACGCTAAATGACCTAAATGCTTCCCAATTATCACCCATTTCTCAAGATACAGTTAGTCTTAATAATTCCTTTAATTCTTTTAATGCCACTAATCTGGTTAACCAGGGCATCCTGCAATCCATCATAATGGAGAGCGCGCTTCCGTTCCGAAAGCAAACACCCTCACGCTAATAACAATTTGCCTTTGAGAACTTGTCAGAATTTTGGCAATGAATAATAAATTGTTCTCTAAAGTTTCATATTTTTTGAACTTGGTTCGACTACACTTGTGTGGCTCAAAGGTAAAACTTATACACAGCTGTACAAAGTTTTTCTTTTAGCTCATTTGCATTAGGTGCGCAGCGTTTGATATTGGTTTCCTGATTGATTTTTCGTGAGTGATTCAAACGCACGAAAGAGGTGTGTACCTTTCAATAGACAAGCACATATTGGCTCGACGAAAAATAGTTGAAAATTTACATTATCATTGTTCCCAGTCCTTTCGCGCAATATAATGACCTCGTGTAAAAATTGGGAAACTGGCCAGCAGGCCAGGACTATATGTTACCCTCTTCGCGCATGGTAAAAAAGAAATTCCTAAAAATAGCAAATGCGTCTTGGAAAATCCTGTAATGAAGACCAAATTGACTAAATGATATTTTGACTCTTATTTTACAAAGTTTCGTCAGATATCTATCGGTTTCGTGAAGAAGGCCATTAAATTAAACAGAATGAAGTTTTTGTGAATTATTTATTTTATTTTTTTCATGTTACATCGACTTGAAAACGATTTACACATTGTAGTTTGTTTTGTAAAACAAAGTAGAAGTACATTCCACGGTTCTTTAAACGGCACCATTTTAGTACGTACGTATAAGAAGTGGATACTCGCAGCAAATTGGTTCAGTACTAATTAATGTGGAATTCTACTCAATAAAAAGCCTCTGTTTTGATCTTTTCAAGCTGTATGAAATTCATACGATTGATAATATACGATAAGATTTCTTTACAATCATTTATTTGGGTGAATTTGTTTTGGCCGTGAGGCCGTCGTCGTCGCTTTGCCGTCTTACATCTTATAAATTAAGGTCCCTATTTTAACCGATAGAGACAAAGGCAATCGTACCACTCTTGCACCGTTCCGATCCCTATTAAACAGGGAACTTAAACATTAAGTTAAACATATTCCAAATACATTTTCAAACTATTCAAATGATGAAAGTTATTGTTGTTTTTATTTATTAGCGAGTGGGAAACTCCAACATGGCCGCCATCTATTCAAATGGGGGTAACCGCTGGAATGTTCTTGGCTTCAACTTTACTAAAAGAGATGCGCTATCTAGTTTATATAAGATATCTATGACCTGCATGGATTAAATTATCTTGAATTATTTCGAAAGCAACGCTCAAAAAAGCTTTTGAGATTTTGAATTGAAAATAGATACTTTTTTAGATATCAGTTTACGGGATTTCAGTCTGTGATTTTTGGCAGGGCATAGTATGACCTGATTATTGCAAGTCAAGAAACATTTACCAGGTCAGCTAACAGCAAGAAGGGAAAGTAATAATACTTTTTTCAAACAGAATATTGATAGTTTTGATAAATAAAATGTCCTTGCAAACGAGAGTCCTGGCTGAAGGGTGAACATTTATAAGTCATGAATTACTCGATCGATAATGTCATAATTCAGTTTATGTTAACTTATAGAGTAAAATTGCTACAAAACGAAGTCTTCATTATATATATTTTAAACTTCATAGTGACTAGTGAGAAAACGTTTACATGTGGTATGTCGTCAATATGCCTACAATCCTTTTCGGGTTAATTAAAAATGACTAATGATTTCGTGCAGGAAACTGGACTAATGAGCAGCAGTCAGTGACATCATTTATGGTTAGCATGAGTCAGTTTTGTCTCGACATGTCACAGTAGTTTGATAAATTATTTTATTTTCCGCGGAAGGGTGATGTTACTACGATAAAATAATGAGACGTTTCAGTTATTTTATCATTTATTTAACTAATTGAACAATCCCGTTACTGTTTCAGTGTATTGACAGACGATATCATGCATGTATGCATATATTATAGCCTGCAGCACGCTGCAGCCGCGGTTGCCTATATATAGTTGAGTTGTAAAATGAGTAAAATGAAAATTGATTTGATTGAGTAAAGTTAAGAACCATGCATTTTTATAGTTTCTGGCTTTAATACGAATCGGCTAAAAGAATATATTATATTTTAGAACTAATATCGGTAAATAGTAATTATTCACACGAGGTTCCGGATTTGGATAGTACTGATTTGTCTCATGATAACAGTGATTGAAGAGCGAGGCTACAATCAAAGCCTTCAAGTCTTCAACATATAAAAACAAATAAAATGAATTAGTTTCAAGTGAATGATCAAACTCACCTGAAAAATTACCATAGAAATTACCACAATTTTCAATTGTCAAAATCTACCAAAAACTGACGAAAAATTACCAAATAAAGTAATTTAACAGAGTTACCATTTCTGCTCACATTGTGAGTAAATAATTGATATGTGTAATGCATGTTTCACGAAACAAAACAATTATAAATAAAATTGATCGATAATTCTACTCAAACTAGTCAGTTCTATAATTCTAGCCTATAACAGAACTAGTGTTCCTTATATATGTCGCCTATATACTGTGACGCATGAGTGAAGTTTACTGTTGTCATCTTAACAAGACTTTTTGGTTTAAATTATCGATTTTACCAAAAATATGTAGTTATAAGATTAAATATTCAGCAAAAAAAGCCATAGACATAGTTATTCATACTCATCGTAGTAAGCAAGAGCGAAAAAAACTGTGTGGCGGGACTGCATGTGTGTCCAAAAAAACTGTGTGGTGACTGCATGTGTGTCCAAAAACTGTGTGGCGGGAGAATAGCCATAGCTAGATATCTTATATACACTATAGATAGTGCATCTAATTATTCTGCAATTCAAAAATTGGACGGCCGTGATTGCAGACTCAGGATATTCCCATGAAATGAGAAGACTCGTATGTTTTCTATTTCTTAAACAGGGAACTTAAACATTAAGTTAAACCTATTCCAAATACATTTTTAAACTATTCAAATGATGAAAGTTATTGTTGTTTTTAAGCGTTTATTAGCGAGTGGGAACTACCAACATGGCCGCAATCTATTCAAATGGGAATAACCGCTGGAAAATTCTTGGCTAGCTTCAATTTTACTAAAAGAGATGCGCTATCTAGTGTATATCAGTAAGATATCTAAATGGGCGGGAGGGGGATGAAGCCGGTCAACGGACGTAATTTATTACAGATTATATTACGAATCGGTCCAAAAAGTGAAGGGGGGGGGACGTCCCCCCCAGAATTGATTGTCCAGGCGGACATAAATTTGCCCGATGTTGATGAAATTGCCCTACCACGGTACAATTCTTTTCCTTCGGGAGGGGGGATTTTCGAAACATAGTTAATTAATTAAGACATTTCCAAAACGTAGGATATTTCTTTTTAGTACATTTTAATGCATTATTTCATAAAATTACGGCCCCATTTTCAATTCCAGATTGATCTTAGAAACAGGGTACATTGCCTGATGCATGCAGATTTTAGTTTGTAACTGACAATTGTCACTCTGGCATGTACGAGTCGAGAAGTCAGTCGTGCGCAGTGAAATCACAAAACGACGCTATCCGGCAAGTTTTTAAAGCGCTTTCATGTACGAGATAATCAGTTAAAATCATAATATACGAGTTCGAGTGTAGGATACAATATACACACTTCTGGAGAGTACGTCACCTAAGCTATATAGAACCATTGTATTTTCGTGATTGAGATATCAGCCATATTACTCATTAGGCAAAGTTATAATGTCACTTCACGAAACTGATATACTTTCCGGAAGCGTGTATTGCGACCGACAGTTTTCCAACAAACCAGTTGTCTGTATTTAAAGTGAGAGAAAATCAACGCAACATTTATAGACGATCAGTATATCACAATATCACAATGGCGGAATTATTTATGAGTTTGAGAAATAAGTATAACCATTTTAATAGTCTCCATCCACCCATGCTGCATGTTCTGCATAGTCTACTTCACTTCACCCGGTCTTGTATCTCGTATGCCATCAATGCCCACAGTCTCCACGTCTTTCTTCCATGTCATCTTGGCTTCTCTCCCCCCCCTTCTTGCCAATTAATCGCAGTCTTGGGGCCTTGGGGGTAATCGTTCTGGTGGCATTCTTATGTCCTGCATATTTCCTCCTCCTCGCTCTCCTCCACAATTCCCTGCATGTTGGTTCCAGGGGTACGGCATACCTCTTCATTTGTTATGCGATCTCTCGACTGACGATTTTTCCAAGACATGTGGCACCGTTGTTAAACCTCATTCAGCACCTACTTCACCTTCATCATGGCGAAATCTTACCGCATTTCCGCACTGTTTGTCTCGAGACCAGTTTACATCAGTCATTTTATTAACGGCCAGTGCGATGGTTAGAAGTACACTGTCACTGGTTACCCCCCTCCCCACCTATTCAATGTTGAGTTCTAGTGTGGCGGGATATTTGAGCGAAATAAGACGAATCGTTCCACATGTTTCAGCTACCTTGATACACCCAAGGCCGGTGTATGTGATCATGTCGCATATAGTTGCTATGCATGTTGTGAACGCATCACCATGGGTAAGATATGCAAACAGTTTCGCTCGAAATTGATGGCTGCAAGGTTTCATGATAGACTATACATTTTCTGTTGAGATTCTTTCAGGTTTTTTGTGTGAAACAACTTTGTATACTGAATGCCCGTTCACACTTCAGTTTAGGTGGTGGAACTAACATCCGAGTTAACGGGCACACTCCTCAGTAGCATACTCTAGGTACGAGAATGTATGGGATTCTAGATTACATGTTGCAATTTATATTCTTTCAGTTATAATTGTATTGAGCCCTTTTTTGATAACGAAGAAAGTCCGTACGAGAAAAGTCTACATGCAAGTCCAAAGTGAAAAGTATTTTGTCCATGGCAGGATCGAACTTGGGAATAACGGGTTGAGACTACCTAGATACAAAATTCGCATACCCCTTATGATAAATTCCATGTTAAATCATGTTGCGCATCTTAAGCCCCCAGTGTACTGAGCATAGGGAGCGCCCCCAACTCAATGTTGATCGAACTTGTGTAATGGAAAATTATTAACAGTTGTTTCGTCGATGTTTAGAACTGGGGGGGAGAGGGGGTGACGAAGTTAATTGTTTTGTCAATGTGGATTAACTTTGCAAAATTGGCTTGTTAACCCCATGGGAGTTACAGGTTTACCAGGAGCTAGGCCCAACCTTATTCCATTACCAATACAATTTCACTGAATCAAGCAAGTACAGCCTACAGGTCATTATTGTAAGTATTCTATTTCATAGGGTTTAACACTCTGGGAGTCTCGGTATCTGCTTATGAGCCTGGGCTGGTTGTACGAAGATATATATATATATATATATATATATATATATATATATATATATATATATATATATATATATATATATATATATATATATATATATATAAATTGAAACATTTTAAGATAACAAATTAATTCGCTCTGCTAAATAATTTGTAGTATTGAGCACTCTTTTATCTATAACGAAAAACAAAACTGTTTATATATATATATATATATATATATATCCACCACTGATTTTTTAACCATTGTAAAAAATATTTGCAAAACTACAAATATAAACCCGCCAATCTCCATAAATAAAGACACTTTAATTTATAGATACTAAAGTTTCATCTTCATTATACCAATCAACTGCCAATTTTAGAAAGCTTGATCATGATGAAAGCACTATCCACCTGCTTGGTAGATATTTGCTATCCAGAGTTTACTGATACAACTTACCCCAGAAATAAAATATGTAATGTCTAATTTACCTCATTTATAAAAAATCCTTTTAAAATATTTTAGTCATGTCAGAAATATCCAGTGAAAGTGTAAACTGACGCAGTCCGCAGTGGCGGCGCCAACCCCCCCAATTATTTTTTGCCCCCCCCTCAAAAAAATTATTAGTCACTAAGAGCGACTAAAGGCTACACAAGCGTTCTGTCGTTATCGGAAAATGTATGGCTTATAAGTTGTCATTACTCATTAGTGAATGTGCGTATACATGAAACTGTTTTTTACAGTTTCAATATTAGTTTGTAAATCTCTGAATGGTAAAACTTGCCAATACTCCAATAATACGTTTCAGCTTTAGTTTTGCAGAGTTAAATTCTCAAACGTGTAAGGCAATAATAAGATGAAAGTATCACGAAATTATTTGAATAAACCACATCGCATATATGGGGGGCCGAATGTCCTAAAGAGGGGCTATATTCCTAGGGTATTTGCCCCACCCCCCTGGGAGGCGATATTCCTAGGATATTCGCCCCCGGGAATTCGCTCCTAGGAATATCGCCACGTTTTGAGTGGGGGGGGGTGGCGAATTTCCTGGGGGGGGTGACCTTTTTAAAAATTCTATCTTGCCCCCCAAAATTTGAGTTTGCCCCTCAAATGCCCCCCCAAATTTGGAAGCCTGACGCCGCCACTGGCAGCCCGGCTATAGGAATCATTCTAAAACTGGAAACGTCTTTCTTCAAAAGAAGTTTCCAGTGAATGCAAAGTATATTCCCATTATGAAGTATTTTGCAAAGCATTAGTTGATTGCTAGAAGCACAGGAATGTGAAGCTGGATATATCATATGCTAATAATCTGAATAAAGTAATGTTAGCCTGTATACTGCCTCCCTCTGAGGAAACAGGGATTGCATGTGAAGGAGGCAGAATGGTACTAGGGATAATGCAGATCTGTGTCCACAGTATAGAGATTATAAATAACACTAGCTAGAGGAGGTATGAATCAAGGTTAAAATTTGGAAACATGGCTAATGGGGGGCAAATTTATGTCCCGGATATAAAATCATGCTCTCAATTATTTTTTGGCTGAATTGGAACTCCTCACCAATGGGAACACAAGCACACATGCGGGACTTAAATTTGCCACCCATTATAGCCACATTCCTTTTTTTTGCCTAATGTCAAGATTGCGATGCCTCCTCCAGTGTTATTTATAATCTCTATGGTTCACAGGCTCTTATTTTTGGCACATATCAGTGGCATATATATAGATCAGTCATTGGGAAAAAGATCCGTTTCTTTGGCTTCCCATCATTCTTCATGCACCTGCAATCAACTCATCATGTGTCCTCCCCCCAAAATTCACAAAAGTCAATAGAATAAGAAGGTTAGGGAGCTCAATGCAAACATAATAACCTCATTATCTCTGTTTTTGTCTTGGTTTATGTAAGAAAATCAAATGGTTGGTTCGATCATCATCACATGTGTATAATATTTTTGCTTTAGATCAACACAATTATGCTATCGATGGGTGAAAATACAATACACATGTGACAATGAATCAACAATTTTTTTGCATAAACCCAAGACAAAAACATAGCTGATCCTCTTATTAATAGTTGGTTTAATATGTCCAAGCCACTGACCACAACAATAGTATAGTAAGTATACTGCCATATACTTGATTTCATAAATGATTGATAGCTAGGGCAGGTTATGTTGGAGCCATTGATCTGTGAATATATAACTGCACTGATCCCTACTATGTTGATATTTTAAAAATAAGGGGAGGAATTTTTTCTATACATATCCAGTCTCTTTACAAATCAGTTCAACGTCGATGCAGGTTGGAGCAATTTAAGATCATGATATATGGCCTAGCTGATGTTCAATATGGTTTGTTATGCCTCAACCAATGTAAAAACAGCCAAACACATCGTTTTATACAAAATTAAACAGCCAGATTGACAGAATCATTATAATTGCTGTTGTACTTGTGATCTATGCATTTAAACAAAAATCTATAGTGATTACACTTACTAATAACCAGTAGCATAAGTAGCCAGCCCGACAATTTTAATAGTCCCACTATGCAAATTCAAAATTATTATCATTATTCATATTTTTTGAGAAATTGATTGTTTACACAGTCAATGAAAACGAAAAGATAAATGCATAGCCGGACTAAATCGTTGGGAGTGCTGGCTACGCTATTGATAATAACTACAGATACATTGATTTAACTTCCTTGTTTACATGAGTTTCCTCAAGTTCAGAATAAACCAACTCCCTGCTTGTAAGGATGTTAAACTTAATCCCTGTTAGTTCTTCAGCTAAAGTTTGCAACACTTGAATACTTGCCAGCTCTTCCCTGCTTGCAATGCCTTGCCTTGCTTTCCTTCCACTCACCACAAAACATGACGTTGGAATTTTCACCACATGAATAAACTGTATTAACTTATTAAAAATATCATCTGATGTTTTCATTTCTGTTGGCGGGTCAGGATAGCCTTTTGACTTTTCTTGAAACATGGACATTTCATATATTACATCAGTTCCTGATTCGGCAATGGGGAGGGCTGTCAGGATATGCAAGCTTTCAACATGATTTTTTGCCAATAAATTCATAATCCAGTTTATCAATTGGCTAGAGATGTCCGAGGATGGTTGACAATTCAAGATAACTAGGGAAACATTCTTTGATGGAATGTTTATAATTTGCAAGGGACTAAATGCATTGTCGAATTCAGTTTCCCCCTTGCAGCTGACAAAGCCAAGATCTAGGAAGCTGGTACTATCACGATTTGGTATTTGCTGGTTCAATTTCTCTGCATCAGTATGGTAGTGTAAGTCAACACCAAGTAGAGCCCGACAACCTGCCGCAGCAATATCACTGAACCCAAGGAGTACAAATTGTTGTAGTTTCACATTCATCTGTATTATATGTGGTAACTAAATATTTATTTTCAATCAAAAACTGCCCAATGTCAATTACAGTATCTGTAAAATTATATATTTTACCACACTGATTCCCTGGAGACCTGGGGTTGAATGAATAAATTAGCCTGTGAGCAGGCAAACATGCAAAAAATACCAAAACTGCCAAAAAATGTAAACATTACAATATTATTTCCACTAAAATTAGAAGATTGAGAATGTTTGCGAATATTACACCTTGTCGCAAATTAGCTTGAATATTATAACAAATTTAATTTGTGTGTTCGTATATTTCTAATCAGGCTATCTTATTTAAATGAAGCAGTCCCGTGACTCTCAAAGATTTGATTGGTAACCCCCCTGGCCAAATACGGTCAGCATGTGTTTTTGTACTACGGTATGTCTTATGTTGAAATTTCGTTCGAAGATTTAGAATTTTATGAATGCATTGGATGGGGATCGTTTGGTTCTGTGTACAGAGCATGTTGGAAATCAAAAGAGAGAGAAGTCGCCGTCAAAAAAGTGCTTCGTTTAGATAATGAGGTATACCGTATACAGGTCTTTCGTGTACTTGTTTATATTAAAAGTATGTATGACAAATATTAATCTTGTCATGTATATGTGATATATGTCAACATTTGTTAAATGCTAAACGTTTCAAAACAGTCACTTTTATGGAAGTATTATCACAGGTGGCCCAGGCTTTGTGTGGGTACTTATTTATTTTTTATTTTGCATTAAAAATTATATATAACTTATTTAGTTTTCTTTATGTATATTCTATGTGATTGGGGTGGTTTTAGTCCAGCGTGCATTCCGTGTAAACCTCGCGCTGAAGATAATCTGAGGTAGTGTTGCCGTGCGCCAAGTGAGGTCAACTTATGCGCCAGCTGATTGCCGGCACCGTGATTTTTCATTAATAGTTAGTTGCTTAAAATTTAAACTTGTAAAAAGGCATGTTACAACTAATTAATAAAATGTTTTGCTGATGAGCAATGCTGCGTCAACCACCAAACTGAAAACTTGTGCGCCAACCTCGACGTGCTTGTGCGCCAGCAATTCAAAACTCACGCCGAAGATCTTCCAAAAAACGTGCATGGAATGCACTCTGGGTTTTAGTTTGATATTTAACAAATATAAAACATTTTCCGTGTTGATATACAGTTTTATTATATGGTTTTTCAGAATTCTTAATTCTGATTGGTTGACAAGCGGTCCGTAAAAACCCATATCCAGACCGTGGTCCATATTTTCTGTATCTGGACCGGTGTCCTGGATGTCGTTTATCTGGCGGGAAATTTTGCTTTGCAAACAGAAAATTTTTTTGCTTTTTAAATTTCCAATTGTGCTTTACAGATAAAAATTTCAAACAACCAAATTGTTTTTGATTGAGCATGCATGCCTACCGTATATTGTTACCCAGTGAAACTGACGATAGCCGATTTAATTCGCGGGAGAAGCACATGCTCACAGACTCAGTTCAGCCATATAATAAAGCGATTACTGACCTCACTTGTTCGGTCTGTACCTCGGTCTGATATATTTCACAGTACAGACCTCACGCCCGGTCAATAAGCCTTTAATATCAACACAAGTGGAAATTGGGAAAATGAGAAATTGTGTGGAAACACGACGCCCAAAGGGCGGAGTGTTTTCACACAATTTTGAGTTTTCCCAATTTCCACGAGTTTTATATTTCCACGAGTTTTATATTCCCAATTTCCACGCACAAAGAAATATATAGCACAAAGAAATATAAAGAAAGAAATTTTCCAGCGTTTCCGTTTTGACATTGAGTTATATCAACACTCTTAGCCAATCAGCATTCAGAATTTATAAATGCTATATTGTAAAATGATTTATAATATAGCATCTGTAAATTCTGAACGTTGATTGGCTATAAAGAGCCGTGTTGATATAACTCAATTGTCAACACGGAAATTTTCTTTCTTTATATTTCTTTGTGCTATATTATAAAAAAATATAAAACATTTTTCTGTATTGATATACAGTTATATCAATTACACTCATGGAAATTGGGAAAACTCAAAATTGTGTGAAAACACTCCACTCTTTGGGAGTCGTGTTTCCAGACAATTTCTTGTTTTCCCAATCCCACTCGTGTTGATATAACTGTATATCAACACGGAAAATGTTTTATATTTGTTAAATAAAAAACATCACAAGAATGCGATTTAATATAACTTGATATATTGGAAAATAGTAAATGCCTAAGTATGCATTGATTCACAGTATTGGTGGACTTACTTGTTTATGTAATTTACTTCACTTCGGCCATTTCGTTGAACACACCCTATATTGTATATTTAGCAAATATAAAACATTTTCCATGTTGATATACAGTTATACAGTATCAACATGAGTGGAAATTGGGAAAACGAGAAATTGTGTGGAAACATCACGCCCGGAGGGCGGAGTGTTTTCACACAATTTCGAGTTTTCCCAATTTCCACAAGTGTTGATAACTTGATATAACTGTATATCAATACGGAAAAATGTTTTATTTTCTTTTTATAATATAGCTGCAATTTGGATAAAACACACAAGTGAGTTTTTCAAAGAGCATCATATAATGCGAGTTTGGAGGACAAGTGCCGTTTGAGGTCTTTGAAAAATTCAAACCATCCTATTGCATATTAAATTAATAATATACATAAAAATGTTTGAGACAATTGTAGTTTTAACTTGCATTAACCCATTGAACCGCAATGCGCACCAGTGCACCTAGACTTTTGCAAAGTCCTTTTCAAATGACATCACTTTATTTCGCACGGTTCCGCTTGGGTTCCTCTTTCTCAACTTTGCATCCCTCTCTGTCTCAGCTTTCCGGCTTGTAAAAAATACGGGAAAAGTTCTGAGGCGGACTTGTGGCAAGTCTACAGTGCGCCCTACTTTGTTTTTTACTTGTCTAACGCCAGACAATTTTACTTGTTAATGGGGAAGTTCTGCATGCTGACAAAGTTTTCCTGCATTGTTATATCACATTATACAATGCTAACAGCTTTATATGTAAAGTCTTTTCCTTTTTGAAAAAAAGATAAAAGTTATATTTTCTCAAAATTTACTTATGTTAAGTGTGGCTGCCATCTATGATTTGATTGGTTGATTTTAGATCCCATTGTTTTTACAATCAGATCTGAGTTTGTTACAGATTTTTGCACTGTTGCCACAGAATTTTGCACTGTTGCTACAGAATTTTGCACTGTTGTTTGAGATTAACTGTGCTGGAAATCAACCAATCACAGTCGAGTAATATTTTTATGTATATTTTTATAGTTCTAATTGAGTTCTGCACAAAATGCATGAGCAGGATTAACCCAGGCAATGAGTTGCATTGTGGCCCTATGCACTCTACTTTATTATTTTACTCTGTCTAATGCCAGATGATTTTAGTCATCAAAGGGCGAGTGCTGGCATTCAATGGGTTAATCAGACTACAGTATCTGCCAAGTGTGGTATCCAGAACTCAATTAGAACTACAATTATGATAATACATAAAAATATTACTCAACTGTGATTGGTTGATTTCCATGCAGTTAATCTCAAACAGCAGTGCAGAATTCTGTAACAACAGTGCAAAAATCTGTAACAAAACTGATCTGATTGGTGGAAAAACCATGGGATCAACCAATCAAACCAAACATGGCGGCTGCACTTAACCTATTAAGTAAATTTTGAGAAAATATAGCTTTTATCTTTTTTCAAAATGGAAAAGACTTTACCTTAAACAGGGCCGTAATGAAGAGGGGGGTTTAGTATCGCATTTGCCGACAACATTTCAGTCGCTAATTAATATTTTTTCGTTTCAAAAATTTTTCCTGACATATCATAATTTTTCCGGGCATACTAAAAATTTTTCCGGACATATTGTAATTTGTTAACTTTTTCCGTAATTTTAGTAAATTTAGCTATAACTATAGCTATTAGCCATGTTTTTGCTATAACTATTACTTTTTCATCTGAGCCACTCAAATATTTTCGCTGATTACGAAAACGATTTGCCGATAAAACCGTTATTCTGCCGAAAAGACGTTTTCAGAGGTGTCACCCCCCCCCCCCC